GTTGTTGAAGTCACCAATGCACATGGAGCCCCATCGATTTAGGCACACATAACCCACTCGTTGTCCATGAAGAACAACAGGGATAACATCTGTCGGGCTCCTCAGCAATACCACACCAAGCACCACCAAGAAAGGAATGGATCCCCCTCCGCCTCACGACACTAGAGCGATGGCTGCAACAGAGGGGTGAGGAGATTGATTTTTTTTTTTGCAGCTAGTGTTTTTCATTGGAGTGGTAATGGGTTAGGTATACATGGTCGAGTAATATCAAATTCATATTTACACCTCATGGATGTTCATTGCCTGTCCACGAAAATATGCATGGATTGAAAATCATACCCCTGTTCAGTAAATATGGAAATGGGTCGGCCTGGTCTGGCCTTGGACCTGTCTTGCGCAACCCAGACATCCGTAGGGCGGTCTATTGGGTCGGTCCATTGGATGGCCCATTCGGGGGCGACTTTGCTCGTATAAGTTAGTCATCTTTGTTCTGCAGGCTTTTGTGACATCGACAAATTAGCAAGAGTTCATCAGGTTTAGAGAAAGGAGATCATGGCACCGCTAGGGTATCTGAAGGGGCGTTGGAGCACTGCCGCTTCTGAGGCATAGGGTGGACAGTGGCGCACGTTGCATGGTGGAGGTGCAGCGAGACGAGCTTTTTGTTGAGTTGCATAGTGGATGAAATTATGGGGATGCACACTCTTAATTTAGGAATTACTGGACCGTTTGTTGTTCCTGAATGGAAGCATCGCAATGCGATCGTATTCGACGGTGCCACACCGTCTTTGAAAAGCATAATTCATAGAAAAGAGGTTGTGTGTTGATCATGGAAGATGACGGACATTATCAAAGAATACATGGGTAGTTTCCTAGTAAGCTCTAACGGTTGGTAGTGACGCGAGGAGTTAGCGATAGATTTACTTAGACATGGAATGGGCGTGAAGTTGAGTGTATGTAAGAACTAATGTAAACTCATTATGAAGGGTTCTTTACCCTTTTCTCTCCTTTAATATAAAATACGCACATTTTTGTGTATTCAAGAAAACAACTTTATGTATGAATGAATTAAGTGGTGGGTGGACGCTTCTAATCCCGAGCTTATATGCATCCGTATGAACAGTAAAAAATCAAACAATTCTGTCCTTTTTTAATAGACACTGATAACTGTTTTTCATGCATGCAAACTTTTGTGATAAGACTACCCATAGTGGGAGTAACTTTAGTAGTAACATCGAGTCCAACTCAACAAATTTGCTTATGTGGCAATGAGTTAATGAGGAAAGAGGTAGTAGTAGTAACTTAGCTAGTTACTGTAACATCACATGTCCCAATGCAATATGAGTCTATAACATAATAAATGAAGCTTTGCATGTTACCACACTTATGTTACTACCCACTATGAAGATAGTAACATAGTCTAATGATATGTGTATGTTACTAGTGTATGTTACTCTTCATTGTGGCTAGTCTAAAATCACTTTCATGGAGGCCCGGGCAAAAATATATCAAATGCTCCAAAAGACTAGTTTTGGAGCATTGATTTTGTTTTTATTGCCCCGAGCTCCAAAAATATCATTCCATTATGAAATTTTGCATGTAGGTAAAACATTTATCAGTGTGTATAAAAAATCTCAGAATTTTTAAAAAAAAATTATTTATATTTTACTATTCATCGTTGTGCATGTGAGCTCGAGCATAGAAGAAAACTTTCGGCGGTGGGGATTTTTCTTTGGTCGCTATGTACTCTGTTTTCTTGATCTCCGACAGTGCCGTTCATTAACGATCCACAGCGCATGCGACATTCTCTGAGTTGGTAAATTCAAGATTTGTATGTGTAGTTTTGGTGTGCCTTATTTTTCGATACTTCCAAAATTTTCAAAAATTGCCTAGAATGCTCCAAACTTTCTTAAAACATTTTCCAATGCAATGTACAATATGTCTGACAAAATTTAGGAAAATGCAATAACACAGAAAGCTCATGTAAAAGGGCAAAATATATTGTATTATACCATGATATATATTCCCATACATACATACATACACGGTACAACCAAAAGAAAATTCACACATCGAAGTACAGAGTACAAAACGTCCCGGGTACATACAAGCAACCCAAATTCAAGTCCACCAAACTCAGAACTCAGATATTACGAGTGAGCTAGCTCACTTTATTATTCTGCAAAGGTACGGTCGCCAGACCGGCACCTCAAACTTTCACAAGCAGCGGCCGCGGGCCGGGCTCAGTGCTGTCCGGGCAGCTTCTCCTTGATCTTGTTCATGATGCCCTTCTTTTCGCCAGTGCCGTCGGTGGCGTGCGTCCCCGTGCCGGTCACTCCGGTGTGTCCCTGCTGCCCGTGGGTGCCGCCAGTGGCTGCTGTACCATGCGCCCCGGTGCCGGTCATTCCGGTGTGACCCTGCTGCCCGTAGGTGCCAGCGGTCTGCTGCTGGTCGCCGTGGCCACCCGGAAGCTTCTCCTTTATCTTATCCTTGATGCCTTTCTTCCTCCTCCCGCCCATGCCATCATCCTCAGACTATCACGACCAACGAGAAAATTCAGCCATTGATTCGTTTAATTTAAATGTAAACGGGAAAAATGCAAATTACAACTAGTGCTAGCAAGAAGCAAGAAGTATACGTATACGCACCGAGCTGGAGCTACTAGAGCTGCCGGACCGCTGCAGGATCCCTCCGGCCTTGTGCTCCTCTCTCGTGAGCTGGAAATGCCCACCAGCGGCCGCGCCGGTGCCCACGCCGCCGTGCGCCCCCATGCCGGTGCCGACGCCATGCCCGGCCACCGGGTTGCCGTACTCGTCGACGCGGTTAGTCGCCTGGCCGTGCTCCATCTTGCACAGGTGTTGATCTTGATTATCTCAGAAATCTGGTATGTTGTCTTCCTCACTTCCTCAGTTAGTCTGCAGCTCGTGGTTGTGGAAGCAGGTGCAGCACGAGGCGCCATTTATAAGCCGTTTGCGGCGAGGGGATAGGATCGTCGGAGGCGCTACGTGTGCAGGCATGAGTGGGCTGGCCGGCGGGAGCCGGTGACTGGTGACTAGCCCATAAAGAGAGGCCGGACGTGTGCAGCTACTGGACGCGTCCGGGATGCCACGTCTCAGCTTGTTCTCGAGGTAGAAGTGATGACACACGGGGGATACAGTCCCTGAAACACGTTCTCTCCGCTTGCAAAAGTCCCTCTTGTTTGCTCCGGAAAATGAAAGCTGGAATTGTCGGCATGGAATGAAAACTAAACAAAATAGACCAAACCCATGTATATTTCATTATTATAAATGGTACTAATGCGTCAGTTTTTCTAAATTATATGTCACTTCTATAATTGATCGAAAATAGATTGAATACAACCAGATACAGAGTAAAAGCATCTAACCGATCCTCAAAGAGAACTTCTCTAACGGACACTTAGCCGAAGCCTACAGCCGGACTTGACATATCCGGCCCCTCAAACGTCCGCGGGCATTAACCGGGCACTTCTCAAAAAATGTAATCTATATATTGACACCTCAATTATCATATCTTAAATCCGTACAAACTCATGCAACTACGTCGACGCACATGCATCGTTCAACTACTCCATCACACTACACTAAACATGGCATCGGACTACCAAAATTTGGCATGTTTGGCTATGGTGGAGTTCATCCACGGCTGCCCTTGTCCTTCCCGGCGCCCTTGCCGTCCTTCTCGCGGAAGTACCGGTCGAGCTGGATATGCTCATTGTCAGAGCTCTCCTCGCCGTTGTTGTCCTCCTTCTCCTTCTTCGGTGGCAATCCGGCCATGACACGGACCGCTCGATTTCTGCTCTCGGGCGAGGGCGCGCGTGTTCCTCCGCTGTCGTTTCTTCACAATGTGGGCACGGATGGCTTCCTCGCGGCCGCCCGCGCCGCCGCAACAGCCGCCTCCGCCGTCACCATTTTCGTCGTGATACGGGCCTCGACGACCCTTATCTTCTCCTTCCCACGGCGGGCCGTCCGTTTTCGGTGGGACTCATACTCTGCCCGACCGGTGATGAGGAAGGACAGGTGTTCTAGCCGGGACCGCGAGGATCTAGCACCAGAGGACCCCGAGCGCCCGTTGAGACGACGTTATGGCGTCGCGTCGGCCGGGCGATGTCCTCCCGGGAGCGGCGGAGTGCAATGCAGACTGTCATTGCCTCCTTCAACCCACACGGGGTGACATCCTAATCGACATATCCAGACTGGCCGGAGTTCGATCCGCTCCCTGCCATGGCGGAGAAGGCTGAAAACCGCCAGAGGTGAGCTTGGGTGGCAGAGGGGAGTGATGGGGAGTGGAGTGAAGTGGCTAGGGTTTGCTCCGGTGAGAAGGTGGCGGCGAATATAAGTGGGGTCGGGTGGGCCAGCTTGGGTCGGGTCCACGTGGCGGGCGTGCCCAGGGCGTCCCCGTATCCGCCCCATATTTGGGATAGATATAGGGGTTGCCGGTCAGCCCGAGCGTTTGAGGCCCGTTTGAGGCGTCCGTCTGTGTCGTAAAAACGTGACCGGTCAGTGACCGGGCAGCTTGCCCGGGTGTATGAGGCGGGTTTGAGATGTTCGACTGTTGTCTTGGTGAGCTCACGGCAGATGCCATGGGATGGCTAAAGAGAGGAACATGCACGAGGGCACCGGTGGGCTCGAGAGACGAGGTTGGCACGAGCACGCGAGGAACACGAGACGTACCCAGGTTCGGGGCTTTTCGGAGAGATAGTACCCCTAGTCTTGCCAAGTGTGGTTTATACGAGGTGGATACAAACTTTCTCCTAGAGTTGTTCTGGGGAGGAAGGAAGACCGGCCAGTTCGTGCGCTGCTCCTCTGTGTGTGTGCGCGCTAAAGATTGATCGACCGGCCCCTTGCATGGAGGGGCACCGTGGGGGGTCTTATAGGCCGCCCTCCGAGGTTACAATGGTAATGCTACATGGGCGCGGGCCCTGGTGTAAGCATCTAGGAGCCTACAGTGGGGGCCGTTGGGTCTACCAGGTCCGCTAGGTGCGAGAGTCACCGGGTCCACCGGGTGAGGGCCGTATCGGGGCCGCCGGGCACGGGTACGACCGGCTGCCGGGTACTATGGCACGCCTTGCCAGGCGTCATGGGATGGTCAGCGCCGCCCGCTACAGGGCCGTGCCTCTAGGACACCGCCGCCCCTGGCGGGGACGTGGGAGCGCTGTTGCCGCGCCCGCCGAGGCCGACGTAATGGAGGGGATTCTGTAGCCATACTTGCTTATCACCGGGTTGACTTCTCATGGATGGCTGTCATACCCTAGTTCACTCATTATTACTCCACGAGTATTCATGTTCCATACAACCATATCTCATTGAAATATATTGCAACACACCTGCAACAAAATGCGGAGTATCGTCTAGTTTATACAACAACTACAACATATTAACTAGAGAGTTAGCGCTAAATCGCCTGTGCACATGCGGCTACGCGAGGTTGTTATCCTCACCACTCGCCCCCACGCGATTCGTGCTCACTCCAATACGACGCTCGCGTATTAACTCCACTGGGCAGCCTACACCTCCTTGTATAGGGCTCGTATTTCTCTCTACGCGTCAGTAAAGGCCCACACGCCACCTGGTGGTGACAACGGCTACCTGCGCCAAGGCATTTACTGAGCTGTAGCCACAACGGCTACATGCACCAGGCGGGAGGGCACGACCAGGCCACTGTTGTAGTAACATATGTAGTGTACCCCCTCTGCCTAGGGCATGCCGCTTATTTTTCGTATGTTGTAGTAACGCATGCCGATCTACGTGTGTAAGTTAGTACGTAGAGCAAGCCCATGCAGGCCGCTAGTGGCTATGTGTAATAAAATTATCTCGATGTCATCATGAGTGGCCGTACTACCGTAATTAACCATGTCGCTAATCAGGAAACAGACGCACACACGTACTTTCTGCGAGTGAGTGAAGTCACCGCCCACGGGATCACTTCAATGCACCAATAAGAGAGGGCGCTGCGCGGCATAAATACGCCCAGCCCACCTGCACCGAGTAACGACACCCATCACGAATTGATTGCTCCAATCAATATGGCCTGCAGACGAACAGAAGACGACAGGGCACGCGTGCTCTATAAATCGATTAGCCCAATATGGGCTATTAGAGGTCGTCTAGTACTACTATATTGCTGCTAAACCAACGGGATTCATATGGATTCTCATGGACTAACCTGGATTTATCTGTTTCTGCTGAAACCATGGCGTCCGCCCCCTCCTCGTGCCCGATGAGCGTGAGAACCCAAGAAGATGTACAGTGATACTAGCCTGCGTGCTCGACCGACGCATTAGCCTGTGTGCTAAATGACGATGCACCCCGCGTCAGGCCAATTATTACCCCACCCGCGCACCGGGGTCCCCGCAACGGACAAATGATGTATTTGTATGAAAGTAAATGTGCGCGGCCCACTGACGAGAGGGTATAGCCGGCGTATTCCCATTCTGAAAAAATAAAACACTGTGCTGTATTTTGCACGTGGGGGGGAGAGGCTAATTTAGCTGCGGATCACGACGCGCTGCGGACGCATCAGATAAAGACCTCGCGTGGGGGCATGTCCTCAAAATTCGCGTCCGAGAGTTAGTGTTTACTATCATGGACATCATATAGCTTCACATGCCATGTATAATAATAATAATATATTCATGTACTTATTCAAATTTTGTTTGGTGATCCATGTGTAACCAGCCCCTACCCATGAATATTTGGGTTTCTTTTTTATGATGGCATTGAATTTTTGAGTTACTCATGAATTTTACTTATGGATGAAAAATCATACCAATACTCAATACATGGGAGTTGGTATCCACGAATCCAAACCCATGGGTTAAATTGCCATGAAACGTATTTGAGCCGAGACTAAAATAGACATCTATGGTGGTTTCTCTACCTAATGTGTTTAAAGGTCACAAATTGACCCACCCTTTTTGTGTCGGGCCTTCGACCTGTTTCAGATAGGGCCCTTTCCAGTAGCGTGGCGTATAGGAAAGGTTACCATTTTGTGACATGCCTTTACTTTACTCTGGTTATTTGTGTTTCCTCGATATTATTGGTTGCAGGGTTGCCTTGGTTTGTGTTTCTTGAGATGAATTTTGTGGTCAAAAGATGCTTGTCTCGGATGTAAATTCAAACTTTGGACATCACCTTCTCTCTATTTGATGCCATATCACATGCGTGTTTACATATGCAACATAGAGAACATAACATGAATAGTAAAATTGAAAATAAAAAATTCAATTTTTTATGATTTTTTTGTGGTAAACTTTGACAAATGATCTAAGTGCTTGCAAATTTTCATCATGAGATCACATTCTAGAAGGCGTGACAAAAAAATCAATGCTCCGAAAAATGCTATTTCCGAAAGTATTTGGAAATATTTTCAAAATCAAAAAAATTAAAATATTCACATATTAAAAGTAGTTTATTTCAAATGAATAAATGAGAAATCAAAAACAAAAAATAACAATATAAAAGGGGACATAAAAATAAAATAAAAAGGAAAAAGAAAATAGCAGCCCTCACAAACACATGGCTCATATAACAACAAACACACAGAGAGACAAAAACACAAACACATGGCTCATATAACAACTAACATGGGGAAGCATAAAACGGCCCGACAAAAAAGGAAATAAAATTTTTCTTTTTCGCTTGACTCTTCCTAAAAATAAATCTACACCGTGCCATACTACTATACTGTGCAAGGCAGCTTGACGGTCTTCTGCAGTAGCAACTGCTATGAGAATGGAAGTACTTCATCCGTTTCAAAATAAATGTCAATTTTATATTAACCTTAGTATAAAATTATATTAAATTTAAGACACTTATTTTAAGACGGA